GGTTATGAAGTTAGACTGTCATGAATTGGCTTGTAGATGTCTAAGATGCTTAGACATAGCAAAAGTTTGCTACAACATTCCCAATGATCGTCTACATTAATCTGGTGAATGCTATGATCCCATCGCAATCTTACAACACATCCATAGTATTTTCCAATCCAGTGAGTGCTACGGCCACCCTGCAGTCTTACGACACGTCTATCCCACCATGGTCACCGCTCATGGTCTTACCACACCTCTACCATATCATCCACAATCATCTTGCGTCGAACCCACATCCGACTGAACCCCAATCAAGTGTTTGGGTCATGCTTCGAACCCCAAAGCCTTCATCAAACAAGAACAGTCAGCAAGGATCTAACACAACCCGCAACCTAGATCCGTCCACATGTCTTCTATCCATCACGAAGAAGCCGCCAACCATCTGTTGGAAGTTTCTCGAACTCCCAACTTACACAATCTTCAATCCAGACGACCACTTGACTTGTCTTCCCTACCGACTAGGATGTGAAACTCACCCTAGATTCATACCTGATTCAACTCCGAAAATCTGAACGATCCTCCCCTACTTGGATTTGTCGAAGCTCTCCTAACCCATAAAATTTGATGGATTGCCAACCCATCTTGCCTCCTTATAACTCAAACCGTTGACGACATGAGCTTACCAAGAACTAGCATTTCATTACTAGCCAATCCCGATGGTCACACAACTCCTGGGATCCAGATGAATACTCCCTGAAATATCAGCAAGCCCGATAACCCCAATTTATTCCCCATGGTACATCACCAAATCCTTATGTCCTTCATGCTGGTAACAAAGATCATAACCCTTGCTCTGAACTGGCGAATATTCACTCCAACTTCCCATCCTCAGAAGAATCTCTGAATTCTAACCCTCTTCAACCCTTGCGATTATAAAATTGTCTGGCACTTCCAGTGACCAAACAAACTCATGCGACTTCCACCACCATCTTCTTGCTGCCACTCCTTCCCTAGCAATGGTAGTGTTTGAGCCCAAAATTCCTTCCATCTACGACTGCCGATCCTACCGGAACAAATGCTAAAGCCCAAAAGTCCTTCCATCTACGACTGTCGATCCTACCGGAACAAATGCTAACACGACTGAACTCTGACTTCATTGAAGAACTAACTAGGTAATCCGACCTAGGCCTTCTAAATGATATCCCTAAATTGACCCCATCAAAGAACTGGAACAACAACCGAACAAATTGAAACCCGCTTAGAAAGATACGACCTACTGTTGACTCTTGGCATGCAAAAGCCATATAACAATTATTGATGATATAACTTAGGCAATAACAGCGAACTAACTAGAGATAATTCTTAGCCATACCCAAACAAGATTCCAAAGAAATATAAATACTAATAATAATCAAGAGAAAAGCAAAAGATAATATACGCGCAATAGCTTCTGATGAAATCCTGACCTCCCCTTCCTACCAAAGAACCTGCGATGGAACCCGGGCCGCCCCAACCACTAAGCGTGGGCAATTCATCTTGATATGGCCAGACTGATGACAAAGATGACACAATTCTACCTCTAAGGTGCATTCTTGGCGGAGTTGGCGCTTCCATCCACACCTGCCACATTTAAACTTGCCACACACACACTCATGTGCTCTTTCATCCTTCGTGTAAACATCATGGCCCCTCGGGCCTCTAACACTAGACATGGGAACACACAACGGCGCAGATGTTGCTAGCCGAGTAAGACCATGGGTCCGCTTCCTCTTCCCTAGTCGCCTCTCCAAACCTATCTCCTGCTCCCGAGTCACCCCGACCACCCCCATTAACCGCCTGAACAGCCAAGATCCGACCCTCAAACCTGGCGGCCAATCTATCGGTGACACGACCAATTATGTCGGGTAATCCTTAAGTAAAGCTCGTGAAACCTTGGTGGCAATCCAATCGTGGGACCGATCTCCCGGAAGGGATGATGAAAAACCCACCTCTGATCCCTTACGACAAGAGCTAGCAAAAGGATCCTCCTTCCCAAAGTATTATAGGGCTCCACAAGCCTTGAGCTCCTGATGGGCCCCAAACGGTCCTCCTACAATCTAGGTCTGAAAAGCACCGAGATGACCATCCAAAATTTCCAAAATCCCCTCCTTGACCGAACCAAAGATCATAGGAGTCTATTCCAAATTACCGTGGGTAATCTCCGACGAGATGAACTCCCGCATCTACTCATCGATCGGCTCGGTACCTGCACCTGATCCTGAACCCGAACCCGAACCTCCTTCTTGAGTGTTCATCACCATTCTAAAAAAAATCATGCAAATGATTAGAACATATCCTAGAATCCTTATACCACAAGCTTCCTAGATTCTCCAAGACTCTCCCGATTCGAGTATGGATCATTTGCTTTTAGTAGTATGGGCCCAATACTACCTTCTGCACCTATCCATACTTTCCTCAACAATCATCCTGAATCCTCTAACTCACCTTCTCAGTTGATACTCCAAATGCTCGCTGAACAATGCAACTCAACCCACTGAAGCACTTCCTAGGCTTTCCTAGGTTTTCGACCTCACACTGCCATCAGCTGCTGAAGAACTCCCCATAATGTAAGCGAGTACCTCATGAATACAATCACATGCAACAAAGCTCAGATAATCCTTCGAGTAAAAGACTCATCCCTACAACGGTTAGACTCAAACAAGAGCTGCGCAATAGGGTCAAATCCATTACTCTGAGATTATTCAACCTTTATTACATATGACTTAACATATTCACTTAATAGCTAACTCACATCACTTAAGAGTGCTACAAAGCACAAAGCAAGCAACATTCGTGCAATAGCTATCCAATCCATAGAATATCCAAAGAACATTCAAACTCACATACTAGAACTCATGCTAGGAACTTCCACTCTCACTGCCTGTTCCCTTATTCATGCAAATTATACACAATACATGATCAAATAGACTATCAAATAAAAGACTCTACCCTATGACCACAACCAAACGAGGAACAGAAAATAAGGCCAAGTCAATCATTCTAGGGCTATATGATCCTAATTGTATATAGTTTTTAAAGCATACACTTAGCAATTACTAATACCAATACATATTCTCATTCCAGCATAGCCTCCAATGCTCTCTAGGCTACAAGGCATCACATATCAGACCAATCTATCATGCAATTCCTGAAAGTATCCCTAGCCTCATCCTAACATGCAATTCTCATAACATATAATCATAACAAACATGTATGGGTATTCTGGGAATCATATACTTGAGCTCGGACGATTGCAGGCATCACACTCCCTTTGTGTTTATAAAAATCCTTTTAGAAATTTCATTCCCTTTACAAAAATATTTTTAAAACTGGATTTTTTTAAAGAAAAATTACCAATTCCTCAGTTTGAGTTTAGTCATACTCGAGAGTGTGCCCGAATCCCTCAAACCAAGGCTCTGATACCAACTTGTACCGACCCAAAATTATGAGGTAAAAGTTTCATTTTTAATTCAACCAAAACATTAATTACTTTTAAGTCAACATTCAATATCTGCTTATCTAAATATTCAAAAGTACTTTTATAAAAAAACTGTTATCAGAGTACAATCCTAAAAATCACCATGATGTGGAAACATGGGTGGATGCACTGCGATCCAGCCGGATGCTTCCCTTTCGAACTAGAAGTTCATGAAACCATAACCATGAAAACCGTAAGCACAAAGCTTAGTGAGTTCCCAAAATACCACATACCATATATAAATAACCCAAAACGTATCTGGGTGCTTGCAATCCCCTTCGGTCTATTTAAATCGGATATCGGGTCTATTTCACCCCTACCACTACCATACATATCAAACATATAGTGGGCCCCGCTCGGTATACAGATCTGTCAGTCATCAGGCCCCGCCTGGCTTTGGGACCCGTCCGGTATATATATAACATATAAACACATAATCATACAAACACATGTGAAGGTTGATGTGTTTCATGAGAAGGTTGATGTGTTTGAGCTCAAAACGCCGTGGGTGGAAGAGAAGATACGTGAGCCGAAAGTGAGAAACAATTCATGACTTTCTGCTTGAGAGAGAAGATCACAAAAAGAGGGATGTGGTTTTATAGCCGGTTGTGTTATAGAGAAGGTCTCGAAAGAGGCAAACAATAACTCGTGATTTTGTGAAGACCAATCACTGCAAGTTGATCACATATAGTTTTGAATTTACGATCGTAGTCGGACACCGTAGAATTTTCCTTCTGCAGTTACGAAAGGGAATTATGGAGTATGCATCCATTAAATGGAGTCGTGCTTGTAGGAGTTTCAAGATCGTACCATACGTCACCGGATGTTTTTAGGGCGAATGCCATAACCATGGCATCTCCAGAGAGGGAAGAATGAAGCAGAATAATAGCTCGTTGGTCAGCCTCTTGCTGAGAGAGATAGGTGAGATAGGGAGAAGCTTTACCTACAGGCATCATCAATGGTGGGTTCTGGAGAGCTAACGTTGCCATGCACGTATCCTGTAAGTTTGTGAGTTTCTGGTAGGCAAGGAGTGGCAGGACCTGATTGCGCCACAAAAAAATAATTAGAAGATGATATCTTAATTATATCATATGATGTAGAGTGGCTAGGGAAATAGAAGCAGGCATCTCCGGTGGAGTCGCCGGCCGCCGATGACAATAGTAGGGAAGAGAGAGAAATCGAGAGGTGGAAAAAAAATGGATTGGTACCTATGTTGTATATTGAAGAATATAAAGTACAGGTTACAACATATACTGTAGGAAATAACAAATTATCCTATTTTACAAGATCTACGTACACAATGGTCTCTCTGATGCTTTGTTGACTAATTAACAACTAGATCTACCGCAAAAAGAAAAAAAAGGTGTCTCTTTTTCAGATGTATCAAAAGTTGTCTGCCTTATTTTGGAGGTGGAAGTCCAATCTTTTAGTTGTCTGCTTCGGATGTATAAAAGTTCCGAATAAGATTGCCTAAAATTTTTGCCTCAAACGAGTACTTGAATTAGAGACAACTTGTAGGTTGAAGTAATCCAGAAGCAGTACCAGCAGCATAGGAGCAAGAGGAGACTGCTGGTTGACCCCCATATTTGAGGTTAACATCCTTTAGTCTGATATTAGTGCATGGCTTCCCCTTTCTACAATCAAATTTCACTGCCACCCGTGTTGCTGATGTTCCATGTACATCCTCATACAGCACGTTGCTGATCTTTACTCCTGAAACCTGATTGGGGCAATTCTCATTGTTTGGGCAGTAATTTGCATCTATTAGTATCGGATTTTTTACGTTCACCATACTTGCATGCTGGAAAACAACATCCTTCACGAATCCATTACTAAGTCTTGCCCATGTCTTTATCCTTAAACCGTTGTCACTACCTATAAATGTTGCAGTTTTTACAGTAACATTCTGAACACCCGCTTCGATAACGTCCCAACCTAGACTCCCGATGCTGCATCCACATAACACAACTAATTAACAGATACACAAACACACTTGGAGAAGAATAATATATCATAGTTCAAAACAAAACTATAGATGTTATAAAATACTCATGTACCTGATGCCATGACCGGGTCCACACACCACCTTCTCTATCCAGACATTAGAATTGCCGGGGCCAATGGAGATGCAGTCGTCCCCTGTAGAGATCTTAGAATTCAAGATGGTAACGCCTGTGGAAGATGATAAATGGATACCATCTGTGTTAGGGCTGAGCCCGGGTGCTGAGATACTCACCCCTTGTAGCTTGGCATTGGTGCATGCATATAGCAGGATGTGGAACATTTGGCTGTTTAATGACCTTAAATTACTGATTACTATGTTTTGGGAATGGTAGATGCCAAGTGTCTGCAAGATTAATGATATATATAATCTTAGAAAAGAATTTAAAATCAACATCAATGTTTATAAGGGGTGCATGCAAGCATAATAGTACTTACCGTAGCTCCTTTAGGACATGTCTTTCCAGAGGATTTGCAGGCCCATAGAGAAGAACCTTGGGCATCAAGGGTTCCACCGGAGATGGTAACATGGTTAGTCCGGTAAAACTTAATCCAAACTTGGGCGTTGCCTATTGCATTATACGTTGAGGGAGCCACCAAAGTACCATCTATCTTCATTGTGATGGCTTTGCTCTTACATGCTTGGCCGGAGAATGTGATTGCAGAACCAATCAAGTACCTGCCAATGGGTACATAGATGATGGCGGGATTTGTTGAATTACAGGCCAAACCCCATGCTTTTAGGAACGCACTTCTTGAGTCTAAGCGGCCATTGGCTTTGGCTCCAAAACTAAGGACGTTATATGTTACCTTTGCTGAATATGAGTATTGGAAGAGGAGGAAAATCAAGACTGGAACATATTCAGTTTGGTGACCATGATGAAGTTGTTAGGAAATGTTAAAGTACGTATAACCAATCCGTTGATTCAGTTATTTATATCTGTTAAATTGAGTGCATAATCCAGGTATGCACCGGGGGGTGGGTTGTATTATTGATAATGATTGATATGAAGTACTCCGTATGTATAGGAGTACGTACTGATCCATTGAGATGGTAACATGCGGGGAATATTAATCATGTAACCTCCATAATATATTAACATTTAACAAGTCTGTATAATATTCATTTCACAAAATGTGGTTTGAAATTTTGATAAAAAGGTTATTTAATTATGAAGTTATATTAAAAATGGTGTGAATGGTATTGGTAGATGATATATATGTATTTAATATAGTTATCCTAATGCAAATGGGAATTAATGCAGGGCGTATGATCTCACATGGGTTAATTAGCGGAATGTCAACCCGGCCGGCCTAAAAATATTATTACGGACGTCGTACAAAAATTATGTCAACCTTGAAATATTTTTGTTCTTAGGGAAAACTATAGAAAGAAATCATTATATATATTATACCTTCAAATAAAAGTGACATTATCTTAAAAAGCTTATAATATGCCTTAGAATAACAAAGACATCAAGAAATAATTAAGTGTTTATGTGACCCATTACTGAAACCACAAATAATTAAAATCACCAAGGTGTTCTTGAAAGTAGAATAAATCTGATCTTCATTAATTGAAACTAGTGGGGAAGCCCATGCTAAGTGCGGGTTGATAGGATTATAGTTTTTAATCAAATATAGATTGCAAAAAATATGGAAAATATGTTTGTTTTATATGATTAAAGGTTGTTCCTTGTTTATACAACAATATGGTAATTTAGTAAAATCACAAACATACCAAAAAAAAAAAGTCCATTAAGTCTCATAATATATTAATACGTGCATATAAATAAATAATGTTTTTAGTGATTAGGTTCGAATATGCCCTATTTAATATATCATAATAGAAATGTTGGGGTCGAATGTCTATAGTGAGGAGTCAAATGTACTTTGTGTCTGTAAAGTGTCCAAAGTAGTCTGGTTTCGACACTATTAACAAGGTATGTTAGTTTTGACACTGTAATGTTTAGTCCTTTTTATTTTTTATGCGTCTGTTGTACCCTATAAATAGGTTAAGTATATAGAGTAGAGGAGTATCGAACACAACATCATTTTACATTTTATACTGAAACACTCGTGTACTCTTCAGACGATATTAAGTCAAACAGATCTTATTTAGATCGTGTGTCCATTTACAACTTTTATTGATTCATTTGTGTTCTTAATCAAAATCTAACTCACATCAATTGGTATCAGAGTAGGATTCTCTCAATCGATTGAAGTTTGTCATAATTTTTGCATTTTTCTTAATCGCTCTTTTCGATTCAAAATCTTCCGCAAATTTAATCAGGAAATTGGTGTCAATCGGTTGTATTGAATTGATTTTTCACTCTGTTTGTTAGATCGATTGATTTCTAATCAATCTCTGATTGATTTCTTTCCTAGATTTTCATTTGAATAAAAAATTCTCTTTTTACGAAATCCGTACAACAATGGCGAATTTCGGTTTGAACACAATGTCTAATTTCTCTCACTTGCTCGGATCATCAACAAAGATTCCGATGTTGATTCTGGAATATTATGAGCAATGGGTTGACATGATGAATGATTATCTGAATGGGATTGATGAAGATATGATGAGATCCATCAAAAGAGGAGAATATTGTCCGGTGATGTTAGTCGATGTTGGTATGTCTGTAAATTCTGATGACATGATGACAGGAGGATCCAGGATGAGGGAAAATGATAAGAAATGTATGCGTGAATTACGTGGTGCTCTTCCACCAGTAGTCTACAATTACGTTCAAGGATGTAAAACTACAAACCAAATTTAGGATACATTAAAGGAGAAATATCAACGAAATGAGAAGACAAAGAAGAGTTCCCTCAAATAATGCTTGCTAGAGTTGGGAGAGTTCAAGCAGAAGGAAACAGAATCAATCGTATCAAACTATGATCGATCGAATGAATTGATCTTCAAGTGTTCTCGCTTTGGAGTGACACGTTCATCACTAGAGTTCAATCTCAACTTTCTCATGGGTTTAAGAAAGGAAGGGAGAAATATCAGTCTGATGATCAAGACACAAGAAAGCTTTGATTATTACTCTCTTGCAGATCTGTACAATGTCTTGAAAGCACATGACAGTGAGATTAATGACAATACCTGAAGAAAGAAAATTGAGTTTAGGAGGACGTTTGGCCTTGGGGTCAAAATTTGCTCCAAAGGAATCTGAAGTCGAATCTGATGAAGAAGCCAATAATGGTGAAAAAGTTTTCTTGTTTAACTCGGATGATGAAGCTGTCACATACTACTCGAACAACAAAGTGAATAAATTCTTTAAGAAGCCTTTTAATCCAAAATTCAAGAACATTAATGAGGTTAAAGGAAACAGTTCATCTGGAAAAAAGTGTGAAGGATGATTCGAAACTAGAGAAGGATGTTAAAGGTGCGTATGAGAAGAAGAAGGAATTAAAACTGAATGGAGACTCAGGTTATGACTGTAACTACTGCAATGGGTCGAATCATTTGGAAAAGGATTGCATGCTGAGGAAGAAAGAAGAGAAAAGGGAGAGAGTAAAAAACGAAGCCTATTACGTGGAGAGGCTTGAATAAATTCATTCATAGACAAAGAACCTTTCGTTAGTTGGTAAAGGAAATGATGAGGAAGATGGAACTTATCAGATCTGATCTTCAGGATCGGATGATGATGATATGCGAAATCCAACTCATGGGGAAATGTATGCGAAGATGAAGGAAGATGGAGAGGAGAAAGGTGTTTCAGATGAGAAGGATGAAGAAGAAGAGATTACTGGAAGCTGTTTCTGTTGGATTAGGTGTTTAAGCCCATAACTATAGTTAGTATGTACTTGACCCGATAATAGCATGGTCCTTTTGGGTTGCCTTCATCGGAGCAATTTGATAGGATGGATATTTGAGAAAGAGGTTATTTATGATTTATTAATATATTATAAGAATAATATATTAATTGAGAAATCATATTATTTAATTGGTATTGATCAGGAATTAATTTAGAATTAATTCAGTTATCAAAAGAGACTGATTAAATTAACGGGGACTGATTAGCTAAATCAGTAATACATATAGTTTGGGCTAATGATCCATGTTGATTAGGGATAGACTAAATCTATGTGAGAGTCCATGAAGAGTTAGTCCAAAGGGCCTATCAAATGAGTTAATGGATTGTTTGAAGGCCTAAGTGAATGAATTAGGGTTTACAAGTTAAAACCCTAGGAATTCCACACAATATATGTAACCCCTAGCACTCCCAAAATCGGCCAAGACTTAAAAGAAGTAACCCTAGCGTATTTTTTGTTCCTCCGAGCCTCTCTCTTATAGTCCTCCATTGTTCTTGGTGTTTGTGACTAATTTGAGGTATCACATTTGAGGTGCTAAGCTCTTGAAAGGCCAAGTTCTACGAGCTACAACAAAGAGGTACTCATCTAACTTGTTTTATGTTGTAAATCTCAAAATTGTATGCTAGTTAGGGTTCATTCTTTGGATAAAAGAAAATTGCATGTATAACTTGAGAAAACTTAGATCCAAAGAATTAGGGTTGTTTGTGCACCATAAGATTGTTATAGTGCTCAAAACCCATCAGTGGTATCAGAGACTAGGGTGTTTTCTGTTATGTTGATGCATTGGTTAATTGTTCAAAGTTGAAGCAAATTGAAATCTGCTCTCTGACTGGTGGACTCGATGAGTCCTATGAAGGAACTTGACGAGTTGAGCCAACTCGACGAGTCCATTGCCTGACTCGACGTGTTGGATCATCTGTTTGCAGATTTTCAGATTTTTTGGCCATAATTGGATTATGATCATTACCACAAAATGTTTTGACTGATAAAATTCATTTTTTTATGATAAGGTAATGATTATCCTCAACCAATTGGAGGATAATTGTCAAATTTTAAGATAATTACTTGATTATGTGATAAATTAATTATTTGTAGAATTTGATTTGAATTATCTTTCAATATGAAATTAGATTAGGTCAAATTTTGTGATATAGATAAATTATATGATTAATTTAATTGTTTTCAAATTTGATCTAACATGTTTTGAAAAGTTTCAAAACTTGCCCTCAAGTTTTGGAATTTAAAATTTGATTAAAAGTTTTGATTTTGAAATATTTAAATTCTAAACCCTAGAGTTTTAAAAGTTTAAAATTCAACCCTTATACTATTATAATATTAATAACTTAATACTTATATATATGTATAAGTCAATCAGTCTTACCTCCCTTCAAATAATTTGCAATTAGATTACGACATCCTTTTTCTAAGTTGTGAATTATTGTGTTTAGTTCTTGCCTTAATATTTCATTTGGGTGTTATATTAAGGAATTTCTATCTAACGAAACTTGTCTTTCTTTTCAAAAGTCTACCTCAAACAACGCTTCAAACTCAAACTCTTCCGGCTCTTTCTCCCTCATGAACTTATGTAGGAGGGTCATTTTCGATGGGTCGAATTTCAATGAATGGATTCGAAACATTCACATGGCCATTCAATACGAGGAAAATGAATATGTCCTCGACAAAGAGATAAAGGAGATTGATGAAGAAACTGCTACTCCTGAGCAACTGGCTGAGTATAGGGCTCATGAGAAGGACACGACAAAGGTGTCGTGCATCATGCTAGCCACTATGACTTCTGAGCTTCAAAAGTCCTACGAGGATTTCTAGCCTTTCGAGATGCACCAAGACTTGATGGAAAGGTACCATCAGAGTGCTCGACAAGAAAGGTATGAAATCATTGCCTCCATGATAACAACAAAAATGAAGGATGGAGAGTCCATCACGGCCCACTTGCAAAAGATGCAAAGATATGTGGACCGCTTGCTAAAGTTGAATGTCAATTTCGATGAAGAGTTGGCTATGGACATTATCCTACACTCTTTACCTCCTTGTTATGATCAGTTCAGGATGACGTATCATATGAATAAGGAGGAAGTCACTCTAAGCAAGCTTCAAGGCCTTCTGAGAACTGCTGAAATTAGTCTAAAAGGCAAATATGTTGTACCCACTCCTACTGCTTCCGCCTCAGTCCTAGCAATTAGGCATGGGAAAGGGAAGAAAAGGAAAGCTCCTTTAAGGAATC